ATGGGAAGGAAGGCAATAACACCCTCACACTTCAGATTCAGCAGAGTCCAGTGTGCTGGTCACTCTCCAGATTCCTTCGGGGCCCCTCTCTGGACGGCTCTGTGCCCGGGCTGACTCCTCTGCCTGCACTGCCCAGGCCTCTGGGGGGCTCCCAGGCTCCAGCAGGAGGTGGGAGGACAGGAGGACAGAGGGTGGGGGCAGTCTTCCCTGTTCCCCTGACAGCCCCTCATGGGCCCAGAGGACACCACTTCCCCTCCTCCCTCCAGCCCAGGGCTGGGAACAGCTTCCCTCTCGCTGGCCCCTGGGAGCCCCGCATCCTCGGCCCTTCCCTCCTCCCTGTCTCAGCTCCGGAAACTGCTCCATCTCAGTCTCTTCATCTGCACCATTGGGATGAAGTGTTTCTAACGGGAATTTTGTCAGATACATCAGGCACCTCTCCTTTTCTCTGTACAGGATTTAGGATTCTTGTGTGTACATCGAGGTGGATTGCATGGTCTGTTTCTTTTGTTTATTCAAAAAAACTTTCAAACTGGAATTTTGTAATTTTACATTTTCCTTAGGTACTAAAATAACAAACTATTCTATATCTGTGCTGTGTTTTGTGTGTGTGTGTCTGCACATATGTGATTGCCACCAAGGGAAAACCTTTATTTTGACTGCATGAAATGGAGAGAACTTTCAACAACAAACAGTATCTTAAACAATACAACATAACTTAAAAAAAATTACAAAACAAAAAACAACTGAAAATTATCCTCTAAATTAATCTATGAATTTGGGAATAAATAAAAAGATTAGGAAATATGAGCGATGGTATGTTGAGGTCTTTTTTCTCTTATTTTTCCCTGGTTTTTAATACAAATCTAATTTACTCAGGCAAATATTCAGTTACTTAGGAGATTTCTAATAAGAGCTCAGAGCACACAGAAATGGTCTTTATTGTATTCTGCATCTCCATGACCAACTTCAGTGATGGCTTATGTAATAGTGACCTTTCATTTAAATCTAAATTCAACCCTCCTACTGTCTCATTCTAGAGGGTCCAAGGACAGAGAAAGCAATTATTGATAAGAAATGTATTAAATGAAACTTTACTTGAAAAAATATCTTACACAGTAGAATGCTTTATCTACTTGAATAAGAATAATCAATTAAGTAATAATAGCTAAACTACAAAGAGAAAAATCAAAGTTCCTTTAAAAAGAGAACACCCGTGCAGATGTCCTGCCGTGGCTGGGGTGCTGAGGGCCCAGCTGCTGTGGATGCTGAGTCAAATCTGCAGGTGACCCCAGGCCCCTGAGGCCTCGTGGCAGGGCCATCTTCCTTCCTGGGGGTCCTACTGGCCCAGGGGATCCCCCACACTTCTGGGCCTCTGGGGACCGTGGGAGGAGCAGCTGGAGGAAAACTGCCTCTTGGCAAAGGCTGGAACGAGGCCTCCAACATGGCCAGCCTCTGCCTGTTGTGCTCATTTTCTCTTCTTAGCTCCTCAAGCTTTCTCTCCGCCAACACGGCTGCCCTCCAGCTTTCTTCGGCTCTTTGCATCTGGAAGAGGTTCTCCTTATGATAGTAGGAAGTGCACGTCTCCACTTCTTGGGCCAGGTCTTCAGCCATCTTCTTGTAGAGGTTGCGAAGCTGGTACGTGGAGTTCATCTCCCAGCACAGGTTGAGGAGCTTCTTGTCCAACTCGGAGCAGACCCTTTCCTCCTCAAAGAATTTTCTCTAAAGTGGCCCAACTTCTTCATCATGTAGCTCATGCAGAATTTGAAGTTTGAGCTTCAGCTTCTGAATCTCACTTTCAAGCTCGGCGTTTTCATGCTGCAAAGTTGCTTCCTCGGTTTGGAAGGAGGGGATTTGTCCTGGAAGCTCTTCCTTCATTTGCTTTTCTTGCCACAACCATCTGGCTCCTTCTTGATGTTCCTCTTCGGGACTTTGAAGGGGCACACTGAGGTCAGCATCATCAGCGACCCCCTTCAGACCAACTTCTGACTTAGGGATGGAGGGTTCCCCCTTTCCTGCTTCCCTCTTTTGCTGGACTTCTGCATTCCCGTCATCCATTTGCTGGTCAAGGAGGTCAGGCAAAGGGATGGTGTGCAGCGGGACTGCGACCGCTGACAGGATTTGGCCGACCTGATCTTTCAGGATGGACAGTGTTTGTGTGTTCGACTGCTCCAGCCTTCCTTTCTTCTCCTCCTTTTCCTGTGCCGTCTTCTCCCATCTCGGCATGTCTTGGTGGAGCACTAATGGACTTGCTGGAAAAGGAGTGTTTTCATTCAAATCATTCATTGTGTTCTTCTGAAGTTGTTCTCCATCCTTCTGTGATGCTTTTAAGATGGGTTTTGTGTCAGTCGCTTTGGAAACCTTAAGAGGCAGGCTCTTCAAAGCCTTTTCCAGAAGGTCGACAGTGTCCTGAAGTGCTGATGTGCTCAGGATTGTATTCATCGCTGCCAAGCACAAGGTTCGTAAAGGGAGAGGACTGGCCTCCACCCGAGGGCACTGAAGGGCTTCCTCGGCTCGGGTCTCAGGTCCGGTATTCTCCCCACATTCTCCACTGACTTCAGCACGGGCAGAACACCTTTCGCCTGGAGACTTCCCTCTTCTCAAAGTGTGTCCTGTCTTTACTATCAAAGCCACCACCATAGTACATACCAGGATCTCCCAGGGGAACGCAGGGAGACCTGGCCTCTGGCTCAAGCTTTCTGAAATCACCAGCAGAGCACACCACAGGTGCCCCAGGATCAGCTGGAAAGCGGACGCGATGGCAGGCAGCAGGCCCTCCATGGCTGGGGAGAGCTCCGCAGCTGTGCCTCTGAGTGCCAGTGCCCTGTGGGCCACAACTGACCGCTCGGAACCCTGAGAAGCGTTCCATCTCCCAAGTAAACAGGTGGCCGGGACCAGGGTGGGTCAGTTGGTTGGGGGAGGGGAAGCCAGCTAGGGTCTAGGAAACAGACCCCTAAGTGAGCTCTGAAAGTAGAAGAGGTCTCACTTCTCCAAGCACTGGGGAAGGTGGACAGGGCTGATGGCAGCCTGGCTCTGCCAGTCTAGGCCCACCTGGCCCTAGAGCACACTCAGGGGGCAAAGCAGTGGCAGGCCATGTCCCTTTCTGTGCACAAGAGCAAGTGGTGGGGCCGTCCCTGGGTGAGGCCCACTGTCCAGTTTTAAAGTTTCCTTCTGTGCAGGGACGCCTGGGACTGCCCACAGAGCTCCCCAATCTTCCTACTCTGAGGCTCCCTCTGTCCTTATGTTTGGTCACTGGGGACAAGCAAGGGCAGGGACTGAAGGGTGTCCCCAAAGGTATGAACTAAGAGACCAGGATTCCAATCCAAACAACTCAAGAGTCATCAATATGAACTGGCAATCTTAACATTTTATGGATTTTGGTTGAGACAATATGTCCTCATTCAATCCAAGTGTTCCTGGGTGGAAGTGACTCTCCTGGGGTGACACAGTGACCAGGGCTCCTTTCCTCATGTGGCCCTGCCATCTTCAGTACAAGCTTCCAAGGTGGCCCTGAGGAGGGTCCAGTCCACCAAACTGTCTTCAGAGGTGGGCCTCTGGGGATGGCGTTTTTACACATATTATCAAAAATAACTCAACAAACACTTTTTGAGAAACTATGACATTCTAATATGATGATGGGAACATCAATAGTCTCTTGCCCTGTTAGGCTTCATGTTTGGTAAGCAAGAAAGGCACAAGCAAATAATTTTAAAATAACACAGTACTCATTAAGACACAGGTATGCTCTGGGTGCTGGAAAAGCACTTGGTCCAAACTAGAGGCCAGGGGAAACATTCTAGAGCCATTAGCTCCTGAGCTAAATCCTACAACGCCAGAAGAAATTAGGCTGGGGGTAAAGGCTAGAAGGGATTCCTTCGAAGGAAAAGCAAGCATAAAGACAAAAGAAATTAAATAGCACTGGGTGGATGAGAACTTCAAGCCATTCTGCATCATCACAGTGTAAAGAGAAAAGAACAAAACAGTAGAAAACGAAGTCAGAGATGCAGACAGGAGTCAAGCCACAGTGTGTCTTCAACTTGGACACAGCAACTGGGTCTGTCTTAGACACATAAAACTTCTCCCGATTATCACCTATTATCTGTGTGAAGTAGGAGTATTCCAGGCTTAGCCGACATAAGATCATTTGTAGAGCAAAAATACTAAGATTATCCTGAAAACTTGAAATCAACCAACATTAAACAGTATTTAATGCCAATTAATAGCTATAAACATCTATGTGAATGGGTTCTTCCTGGTTATTTCCTAACTTTGAGAAAGTCTATAAACAAAATCAGAAATTCTCTTCCAATACAAGTTAGTAATCAAACTTCTCTAATTGAGAATGCATAAAAATAAATACCTACATTTTATATAATACAGTTACACCACAATGAGATATGGAGGTAACTGAATGTATTTTGAAAAACTCAGTGCTATATAAGCACAAAGTATTCATGTTATGAATAAAAATTAGTCCATAAAATTTTCCATATGTACCTGTGTGTGCGCATATATGTGTGCTTATTTTGTTACATGGTAATAAACCTTTCTCCAAAATCTTTATTTTGGGGAGGGGCAGGGATTGAAAGAAGGGAAATTCTACTAAATGGTAAAGCTATCAGTAATTAAAAATACTACTTTATCTTCAAAAATAATACTAAGCCTCTACCAACATTTAAAATCCATAAAACAAATGATTTTGCCCATTTAAAATTCTAGAAATTTTTGTTTCTTTAATGAGTAACACTGTAGCTGTTCCATATTTCAAAACAATGAATACTCCATGAGGTGCTCTATGAAAGGATATACCAATGAAATACAATCTGGAAAAAAATATAATGCAGCTAATTAAAACATGCTCCTTTCAAATACACTAAGAAGAACCAAGGTTAAAGTAGTCTTTTTTTTCTGTCCTTTACCTCTGCTTCAACAAAATTAATATATCCCCAAGGAAAATGTTTCATTACATTCCTGTCAAAATATTAAGAAAGAAGTAAACTTACTCGCATCTGCTTGGCTTCCCACACTGATGTATCTATCATTGCCAGGAAGCGCGGTTTGGTAGTAAGTTGTCTCCTCCTGCTGAGGGGTCTTGGCATTCTTCGCAGTGAGGAAAGCCACTGCCAACTCCAAGTTTCCATTGCTATCCTTCAAAGATCAAGAACAGAACATCAAATATTTTGGAATAACTCTGTACATTCTCACATGATTTATGTAAGCTTTTCCATAACAACTAATTCTCAAAGCAAAAATCATTTTCAGATTCAAAATCATTCTGTGTGATTCTGATTTTATAGTATAAATTCATCATAAACAAAGAACACTATATCAATGGTAATTCCTTTCTCTATTAATTAAAACTACTAATATAACGTAAAAATCAACTCTATAACTAATTTCTCAGTTTTCCATTACTTTCATATCTGCTTAACAAAAGCCAATCACAAACTTATACTTCTAAACAAATGAACAAACTAAAACATGTTTTCTGGAACTTGCCATATACAAGGATGAAAAATGAATTTTTAAAACAGTGCTTCTGCAAATAAGAACAAAAAAAGGTATTCCCTTTAAAATGGGTGCTGAACACATACCTAAAGGCAAACTTAACAAGCAAATGTCAAAGACTTATAGGAAGAAAATAGCAAAATGTTCTGAAGCTTGACAGTATGGAGAAACACAAAGAACTCCTAGACAGAAATACTCAATACTGTCAAGATAACAATCCTGCCCAAATTAAATATAAATTTTATGTAGTTCTCATCAAAAGCATACCTGGACAAAATTCTAAAGTTAATTTAGAAGGAAGTAGCTGCTAAAAAACTAAGAATTTTTGAAACAGTAAAATAATAAGAGACCTGCCCAGTTATATCTCTATATTTTCTGTCCAGTTAACAATAAATATAACACTAGCTCTATGACAGCTAGTTGAAACAACATTAGGAAATCCAGGTATTAATAATGAAGTTATCTCTGTGACACAAGGCCAGAACACATTAAGATTGTGTAGGCCTTAAGAATTTCAGGATACGAGAGGAGTGTAATAGGAAGCCAGTCGAGGGTTCTGCCTAGAAATGACCTGGTATGACTTACATTTTAAAAGGATCATTCTGGCTGTGTGTTGAGACTATAGGAGAGAAAGGGCAGAGAGTCTATTATTTGCTATCATATTAAATGTAGGGGGTGATAGAAGGACAAAGATTAGAATGATTCCAAGATTTAAGGAGTGAACAACTAGAAGAATGAAGTCCCCAACCCACCTCAACTCCAACTCTAGGAGCTGCTGAGGAGATAAAGTAAGAGTGCAGTTGGAAAAGCACCACTGCTTTCACCTTTATCTGTCACAACCACTGTAAGATTCTCAAATGACTCATCCAAAATACAGGTATAACATATCCTATAGTTAGATAACTAAACTATAGTAAAACAACTTGCAATAACAATGGCTAAGATTTACTGAGCAGTAATATGTGCCAAAACATGTGCCAAGTACTCTTCACAGACTACCTCATATAATAATTAGCTGACTACAACAGGGACTTACACAACGTGAAGGTCACTTGCTTTGCGAAGCTAAAAATAGATGCTCAAAATAAATAAAAGTGCTGAAATCAATCAACGACATGTGGTTCCCAAAAGTAGACTCCATATCAGTATTTTACTGAGAGACTCAACTCATTAATAACCCTCTTACAAATTTATACCGGGCAACAGTTAAGGTTTAAGTACACTGTTTTCACTTCCACCTACTGAGAACTGAAATGAAAGTTAAAAAAAAAACTAAGGTCACACAGCTTACCTCAAAGGAAATGTGGACAAGAATTAATTTGATTAATTCTTTACATTTATTTAATTAAACATATTCTACATGTTTCCCAAGTCAAGAAAAAGAAAAGTGCCCTGACAAGGTACCGAGTGTAGTGTCACACTCACTGACACAGAATGGAAAAAGTACATTCTGAAAATAGACATGATTTAGTCATATTTATCAGAATAAAGAAAGGACTAGTGGGGCTGGTCGAGTGGTTGAGTTCGCGTGCTCCACTTTGGCAGCCCAGGGTTTTGCTGGTTCGGATCCTGGGCGCAGACATGGCACCGCTCATCAAGCCATGCTGAGGCAGCATCCCACATGCCACAACTAGATGGACCCACAACTAAAAATACACAACTATGTACCGGGGGGCTTTGGGGAGAAAAAGGAAAAATAAAATCTTTAAAAAAAAAAAAAAGAAAGGACTGGCAATCATCTAAACATCATCATATAAACTGACATACAACACTTTTGTTTCCTCCCTAAATGCTTACAGTGGCTTCATAAACCCTGCATTAATGCTCTAAACAGTACTGCTTCATCACTGTCCTGATGAGGCCAAAACGAAGCAAAGCCTCTAGTGAAAGCAGAAATTAAGTGTGGTGCTCTGGGATCAGGCCACTTGGTTTCTATTTCAAACTCCTCCACATACTAGCTGTGTGATCTTGATCAAGTCACTTTAACCTCTGTTTCCTTATCTTTTAAAAAGGGATGAAAATAATACCCCATGGAGTTATTACGAATAGCACCTAGTACTGTAAGTGCTTACTAAGTGCTAGTTGTTATCACTATTATGAGGATTAAGATTACACTCACGTAAAAGATAAATTGCTTCCAGACACAAATGAAGAACTTTTGTGTCAACATCAAAAATTACATAATTTTGTCTCATGGAGCAAAGTCCAAAGGATTGAAGCTGTGTGTATGCCTACAGTGGCAAAAAGGCTCTCACTGCTAGCCTTTGTAGCTATATATATATATATATATATATATATATATATATATAGTTCTTGAACATCTTTCACTCGCTTGATCTTTTCCATGTGCATACCCATGTGATTTAACTCATCTGAGTGCCTCTGTGTGGAAATGAGGGTACTTCATAAGATACAACAAAATGATGCATCTTATCTGTTGCATATACTCAAAAGTTTGATGTTGAATGTTCTTAAGGTAAATTACTTGAATGTTAGCCAGTTTCTATTTCTCCTTCTTGGAAGGAAAAAATGTAAGCTTTTGACTCTCTATTAATTTTCTATTTCTCCCTCCTCCTCCTCTCTCTACTCTCCCGCACCCTCTGCCCCTATTTAAACTCTAAAATCATGGTTCTTGAGTAAAACCAGCCATTAGCATTTGGATTCACATCCCCCTATTTTGCATGAAAAGTGTTTCCTATGGAGAGAAGTCATCTGTCACTCCAAGGTATCTTGGAACATTAGGTTGCTGAAAGCTAACATGCTCAAAATTGCAGTACATGTTAGCTAAGGCTCTTACTTTATACAAGTTCTTTCCTATATCTCTACTACTACCACACAGTATAACTAAAAAACTCAACTTTCAAATATGGCAGGCAGTAGAGATGAGGGTGTAACACAACTGTAGGTCATAAAACAGAGGCCATACCTTCAAAGCTTGCTGTAGTATCTGGGCATCGTTGATCCCAGTAATTTCTCTCAGCTGATTCAAAAATGTCTGCTGGTGCTAGAAGAGAGGAAAAACCAAAATCATTACACTCTGAAATCTGAAAATATACAAGGACAAGAAAATAAATGACCTTTGGGCAAACAAACAGAAAACAAAATAAACTAGAGTAAAAAAGAAAAACAAAAACAGGGGCAGGCCTGGTGGCACAGCAGTTCAGTTCCTACACTCCGCTTTGGCGGCCCGGGGTTTACTGGCTTGGATCCCATGTGCAGACATAGCACTACTTGTCAAGCCATGCTGTGGTAGGCGTCCCGCATATAAAGTGGAGGAAGATGGGCACAGATGTTAGCTCAGGGCCAGTCTTCCTCAGCAAAAAGAGGATTGGGAGCAGATGTTAGCTCAGGGCTAATCTTCTTCAAAAAGAAAAACAAACAAACAAACTTGAGAGAGACTGAACAAATCATTCTTTTAGGAAGAAGGAACCATGCTGTGGGGAGCCCTTACTCCATTTTCATGTTTCCAAAAGGGAACTTCTACATTACTTCCCAAGAAGAAGTCTTACTGAATTAACAATTTCTGGTCCATTCTTCACCACCTCATTTATGCCACCCAACAAGAAAAGGAGTGGTTAGCATGAGGCTAAGCCTGAGAAACTAAGGAAAACAAGTATCCATTGGGTTACTTTAACTAGGGCATGGGACCAGTGATGGAGATCGAGGCAGCTCTGGTAATCTCTCCCTGTCCCTATGGACAGCCAGCATCCAGGCCCCTGGGATATGTGAAAAAGACACGCTTTTGGCAGGCCATGCACTAGGTGAGTATATTATATCACTGGCATCCTACGATCTGTCTGAGGAAAAAGAGGACCATCTCATGCTCCCATCCGTCATAAAAGATCCTAAACAGAATTGATCATTTGCCCCCATTTGCTTCAGATCTGTTTACAGTCTACTGGTCTATGTACCATATAATCTATTACACTCTATTGGGGGGATAGCATCCCACTACCAAACCCTTCCCTGAACTTCCCTAATTAAGAACCATGTTCCTCCCTACATCTCTGTATTTCTCAAAACAAGTTCCCAAAAACTGTAAGACAGCACCACGACATAATGCAAGCTCAAGGGATATGATCTGGAAGACAAGTCATCACTAGAATGAAAGGATCTGCAGAAATCTTTCTTGAAAATGTTTTACAGTCATCTCAGTAATAATTTTATGGGGTGAAAGTTTAATGAGAAACAGTATAGTTACACAGTTTCAAATTCTTCCTACAAATTATAAAGGGAGGAAAAGTAAATTTATACTGAAGAAATCTAACAGATACCAACTCAACCAAGTGATCAGAGCTAATATTACCAATAATGGGACTGACAGCGTGTGCCTCTTGATATGATATGATACACCAAGAAGACAATATCACCTGTGGTTTTCCTGCCAAAAACCATAACCTGAATCTAATCTTGAGGAAGTATCAGACATCCAAACTGAGGAACATTTCGCAAAATAATTATTGTGTTATCTTCAAAATGTCTATATCATGACAGACAAAGGACAAGTTTCCAGATTTTTAAAGGGGACCAAAAAGGCATGGTAACCAAATGTACTGCAGGAGACCACATTACATCTCAAACTAAACGCAATACAGGATATTATTCAGACAACTGGAGAAAGATGAATGCGGACTGCTTAG